CCGACCAGTACAAATTTGCTATGCCTCTGCGCCATCAGAGAAGTGTTAACAGACAGCTGTAGAGTTTGGTTAACTAAGTTTATCCTTTATAAAGATTTTCTGTTAGAGATGAAAAGATATACTTTGTCCAGTCAGTGAAGATTTTAGCATGAATAGCTGGGTTTCAGTCACGTGATTATGATGATGCGCAGAATTCAGATGGAGGGCAGGGAGTGAAAAGCGCAATGGACGAGATGGAGGAAAGTCTGTACTGTACTACTTTACACGGTATTACAAGAGAAATAAATAAACAAAAAAATCAAACATATGTTGGACGTGATCCTTACGTAATGAAGAGGAGCGATTTTTCAACTGAATTGAAATATTTTCCTGGCATCAGGGTGGTAGATATCAGCAACTACCTCCTCTTGCAGACATACTTTGACTTTACAAAATTCTAAAACTTTACACGTTACACAAACGGTCACTTAAGTTGTATTAACTCATCTTTGACGAAGTGATCACTAACGTTACACACACACGCGCATTTTCCCATTCGACTCCTCCCGACCACAGACAGGTTTGCAAGCTGTTTTTCCCAGACTGATCTCATGAAGTAGCGTGTGTATGACACGCCAATTCGTATTTCCATTTTTGGCGTGCTATCAAGACGCATAATCGCTTTTCAGCGTGTTTATGAACGCCGTTGACTTAATGTTATATAAATATATGACTTACCTCAACCCCGTCCCTAACCGTCACTGGGGTTAATGGCATTTATGACTGTTCCCTTACCATCCTAGGGAAAAAAAGATATGACTTACCTCAACCCCGTCCCTAAACTTAACCGTCACTGGGGTTAATGGCATTTATGACTGGACATTTGACGGCGTGTACAGACACGCGGAATCACTCGGATGTTAATGGCGTAGACCAGTAATTCTCAAAGTGTGGTCCGCGGACCACTAGTGGTCCGCCATCGCCCCCTAGTGGTCCGCGAAAAGATGACCTAAACTAGGCAAGTGTTTACAAAACCGACACTTTTTCGCACGTACCAGTGTGATTAGTCTTCTTGGCTGATCCCTGGAGCGTACGATCACACCGGTGTGATTAGAATGTTCAGTGCTTCACGTCAGCAACTGCTAAATTCAAACTTGCTCTCGCACGCTGGCTGGCGCTAAGCCAGAGACGGACGCACTCAGAGCTGTCATATAACACAACTATTGAGTGTTTTCAATGTTTATTTTAGGTTTCAGACATTTAAATACACATAAGTACTAGCAAAACAATGATTTTGAGCTTGTAAAATACACACTGATGTCTATGGAAGCGGCAATAATCTTTTCAGTTATAATAAGACAACAACACGTTTTATTCATATCAGATACACATTGTGTAAGTAGCTTTACATTTGACCCTATTCTTTTCCCAGTTCACCAGCCACTTACTATCATGTATTTCGTGAGAAGTGGAGGAATTGACGTTGTAAATCCAACAGATCTGATTCTCTGAACTGAAAAAGAAACTAAAAGCTCAACTAACGCGATCGTTATAAAGATGTTTAAACAATGTCAAACCCATCCACTTGCACATATTTGACAATCGGAATATCAGAGTTTCATGTTATAACTAATTCATTTATGAATATTTTTAACAAAAGAGGAAAAATTACACAAAAACAGATCATCCTTCATTCAGCGCTGTGTTTTGGTTGTGCTGTGTCACGTGACAGGCAAAGACGCGTCACCATGGAAACATTAAAGTGGCAAGTTCTAAATAACGGTCGCCTTGAAAAACTCACGCTGGGGGGGGGTCAGTTAGAATATTTTAAACTTACGTGTGAAAGGGTTAATAAACTTAATTACCAAGCTTTAGCTTTCAGTAAATAAAAAAAATATTCATAGGCAAAATCAACCTATATCAGTTGACCCTATGTGACCCTATGGGGGGGGGGGGGATGCGTAGAACTCAAAATGCGTAGAGATAACACGCCACTTGAGTCGAAAGTCATGTATAGTCATGTATAAAGAGTTTTTCGATCAATTTCTTGCATTTTCCCCCTTATGAACAACAACTTGTGGTGCACGATAAAAACTCCTTGTGGTTTGATCGATTCAAGTAACCATAAATGACTCAAAACATAGGCATTTTGAGTTTGTTATAGTGCTTCCTAAATACAGCAAATCACTTCCTGCCCTCCATTTGCATTTCGTGCCATGTCAACGCAGTGGCGTGATGTCAGAGGGTAAACAATATTTTAATAATAGCTTGTTTTCATATGTGCAGACAGGGAAGATTAGTCTTACAGGCTAGTTATTTTGGTTACCCTCTGTTTCAGGCAGGGAAGATTAGCATCATGTGCTAATGATTTGGTTGTCCTCTGTTCAAGCAGGGAAAATTCGCGTAAAGTGCTACTAATTTGTGTTATCCTTTGCTCTGTCAAGGAAAGTTACCAATAATTGATTTGTGTTAACAAGTGTACCCTCTGTTGATCAGATAAGTTTAGTGTTTGTTTGTGGGAACAAAGAAATCCACAAAAAGTTTAGGAAAAGTGCTAGACTAATCCCCACAACCGAAAAAGGTGATCTTGCTACTCCTTTGTGGTCAGATAACAAATTTAGAACACTGTTAGGAGAACAGATGAACCTAATAGTCACTGAAAAAGTGAGACAAGAACTAACACAGAAATATGAGATTCATCCAGACAAGAATTGGTCTGTAGATGAGTGTAGAAAAGTACTAGGAGCAAGTAGTCGCAAGAGCAATGTAAAAGCCATAATTTTTTTGCCATAGAGAATTTCTTCTAGCAAAAGCAAAACAACTTGGACAGTTTAGCTACTTGGGAAAGAAACTTTGATGTCAAGGTACGATTGTGTTATGTAGATCAAGGGATAGGATAGGACATTGAGAACATTGAGGAGCCCCGTGCAAGAACCTAATGCAACAGGCTTCGGGAAGACTCCTTCATAGGCCTTCCCCATTCATTATTCCATCCTCACCTCAGTGTTTTTTTAGGTGTCACAGAAATTAATAAATAGGGAAAGAAGGAACAATAGCAGACTCAGAAAAAAAGTTACAACCCTAGTGTTTGAACAAATACTGCTCTCCTGTCTTTTGATGGCTTGACACCAATATGCACCGGCCTCCTCATCTGCGTATGAAGACACAACCACAAGAAAACAACTAGACCCACTTCCGAGCCAACTATCACCAAAAAAAAAAAAAAAAACACAATGCAGAGACCCACATACGGAACGTTCAGTCATCCATCATCATGATCAAGATTGTCCATGCAAAATCCAACAAGACATTCTTGATCTTTCAACACAAGATGACTGAAAATAATTCTTCATGGTTCGGAAACTGGTTTGGTAAACCCTGGCTGTGTATAAAGGAAATAGAAATTCTGTTGTTGTTTCCCCTACTGGCGTACTACTATGTGTCCACAGTATCAAGTGTTGTCATTCAACAAATGACTACCCGTAAGAACTTCATGGACCCTAACTGGATGTTTGTTTCTGTGTCAGCATGCAATTACAGAAAAGCAAACACAGAGCATGCCTTATGTGCCTGTAACGATCACAAGTTACAAGAATGAACTTTTAATTTGTATTTTGTGAGAGTTATTAGAACTCTCAAAGGGAGAAATGTGGTGTTACAAATGTATTAATATGTTTAATATAGTAGGTATGTGGACATATCAATAAATAGTGGCCGCCATTGTGTTCCAAATCTCTGTGCCGGATTTTCCCGAATCACTCTGAGCGGGTCTCCTAAAATGCGCTGTTTTCATTGACTCGCTGTGGGAGTCCTTGATTATTTTTAGCCAATCACATCATTAGGGCTTTCGACTGCACATTTGTTTTCAATTTTTTCTAGTCAGGCTGCATTTTCCTCCTGAAAGCCGATTTCAAACAATATGGAAGAATCCAACTGTCAAGAAATTATTTTTACCCACTTTGGACACTTTTTAGAGGAAGGTAGACATGAATAACATATGTTTTGGTGTGCTGTACAAAAATTTCGTGGCCATTTAAACTCCCCCACTTTTTTTATGACTACCGCCACTGAACGTTACCTGTAGAAAAGCTGTCAAAATGCAGCGCTTCGTGTAGGCTACACTCAACATTTGTGTGGTCTCCTCCACTTTCTTTCCTCCACCAGCGTTAGTATTGTTAATTCTATATTGTCACACTACTGGAAATAGCATGAATCAACCAAAATACATCTTTTAAATTAAGGATATATAATTTTACTTGGATCGTTGTTTTCCATTCAATTATTTGTATTTTCAACAACTGCTCGTCAGAAAAATACCATAAAAGATAGGCCAAATCAGTCTTTATGTGTGTTAAAATCAAGTGTAGATCCAAATAACTATATGAAACCCACATTAGATCCAAATAACTATATGAAACCCACATTAGATCCAAATAACTATATGAAACCCATCTCCACAGAAAATTTCATTAAGATATCTTGAATATTGAGAAAGTTATGGTCATTTTTGTGAAAGAACAACTTGTTTTCAGTCGCACTAAATTCTATTCTTTTCACTTTAGAAATGAGACGATAATAGGCGCTGATTATTGAACTATAAAATGTTGTAACCTTCTTCATACTTGACATATTTACCTTTTTTTTTTTTTGTAAAGGGGGTAAGTTAAATGAAACAAAGATCTCAACAAAGAATGAACATTTCTGACTGAGTTCCAGACGGAATCTTTTCCGCACAACAAAACGATTTGTTGAGAAACGAAGAAAAAGTTCACAACATTTGAAAAGACTGCAATTGCTGAAGAACATTCAGCTTTTAAAACTTCAGAAATCTAATTACTTGGATTTCAATTATAGATAAAAAATTAAAATAATTAATTAAAATATTTTAATCTGTAGACACTTCAAATTTATGTAAATGAAAAAGCCATTACAGCGCATTTAGCTAAACTATTAGCCTACATGAGAGGTTTTATGTTCATATTTCAAATCAGTTGATATTATGTTCATATTTTCACACTCACAGAGCTTTTCTGCAGTTCCTCAGAGCAGGTAACAGTCTCCTTTGACTCTCCTTTGATGATCTGATGTTAAACTTTTTAAGGTCAAACTCATCCATCACCTCCTCTGACATTAAGATCATGTTTGCCAAAGTTGAACATTGTGCAAGAGAAAGGTTTTTGTTATTTGTATCAGATTGTAAAAATGCTTGCATTTCTTCAATAAGAGAACTATCCTTCATCTCAATCAAGCAGTGCGTCAGATTCATCCATCTTTCAGGGCTGACACTGTCTTTTTTGTTTTTTTGATTTTTTGATTTTTTAAGGTTGTGGATTATTTTCTTGATGCTCTCTGGGTTGTTCTCTGTGTGAATCAGCACATCCTGTAAGAGTCTCTGGTTGGACTCCAGTGAGATGCCATGAAGAAATCGAAGGAAAAGATCCAGGTGTCCATTTTTACTGTTCAAAGCTTTATTCACTGCTCCGTTCAGAAACACATCCAGAGAAACAATCTCACACTGAGTTCTGAACTTCCCTGATAGGAACATTTTCAGAACTTCACTGTTCTTGTGTAAATAACAGAAAAACACAAACAGTGCTGCAAAAAACTCCTGAAAGCTCAGATGTACAAAGCTGTAAACCTTCCTGTGATGAATCACAGATTCCTCCCTAAAGATCTCAGTGCAAATCCCAGAATACACTGAGGCGTCAGTGACGTCTATGCCGCTCTCAATCAGGTCCTCCTCATAGAACATCACATTGCCCTTCATCAGCTGATTGAAAGCCAGTTCAGCAAGTTTCACAATCACTTCTCTGTTGGACTGCAGGAGTTTCTCTGGACCTCTCTCTTCATACTTCTGGTTCCTCATATGAGTTTGAATGAGGAGGAAGTGTATGTACATTTCAGTCAGAGTTTGAGGGATTTCTGCACTGAGATCTTGTTTCAGGATGTTTTGAAGCACAGTGGCTGAGATCCAGCAGAAGACGGGTATGTGACACATGATGTGGAGGCTTCTTGCTCTTCTGATGTGAGAGATAATTCTGCTGGCTTGATGCTCATCACTGATTCTCTTCCTGAAATATTCCTCCTTCTGAGGCTCATTGAATCCCTGAATTTCTGTCACACGGTTGATGTATTTGGAGGGGATCTGATTGGCTGCTGCTGGTCTGGTGGTGATCCAGATGAGAGCTGAGGGAAGCAGATCTCCTTTCATGAGGTTTGACATCAACACACCCACAGATGAAGACTCAGTCACATCAGAAACTTTCTCACTGTCTGAAAACATCAGTGTCAATCTGCTTTCATCCAGACCATCAAAGATCAACACAACTGTACATTCATCATAAATCTCTGAGTCTAGATCTTGAAGTTCAGGATGAAAGTCAAGCAGAAGTCTGTGAAGACTGTACTGATGATCTTTAATCAAGTTCAGCTCTCTAAATGGAAGCACAAACATGAAATCTACATCCTGATTGGCTTTTCCCTCGGCCCAGTCCAGAATGAACTTCTGCACAGAGACGGTTTTCCCGATTCCAGCGATGCCTTTAGTAAGAACAGTCTTGATTTTGTCTTTCTTCTCTCTTCTCTTCTCCTCATATCCTGGTTCAGGTGAAGGATCAAAGATGTCGTTGCAGTTGATTGGAGTGTCTTGGAGGTTCTTGTGCCTTTTCTCCATCTGTCGCACCTCATGTTCATCATTCACTCCTTCACTCTCTCCCTCTATGATGTACAGCTGTGTGTAAATCCTGTTCAGGAGAGTCTGATTCTCTTGTAGTTTGATTCCCTCAAATACGCTCTCATATCTGTTCTTCATGCTGGTTTTGTGCTGCTCTTTGACTCTCTGCAGATCATCATGCACTGGCTGGTGAGAATCGAGCTGCAGGGCTGCTTCTGTGTCATGACGACTGATGGGTTTCTGACAGGAGGAGGATGTGCTGGTCTGACAGGACACATATCGGATTTGCTCAGCTCTCCCACCACTGAAAACACATTAAGATGAACAGAGACACAAAAAGCTTTGTTAAAATAAAGAAAATATTTAAATATGTATAATATGAAATCATACCATGTAGAAATAAGTGTTGGATCTTTCCAACAGATTTCTATCTATTGTGGCCAACTGACTTCCTAATATCACACATGTAGATCCTCAAAGTTCTCACACAGATTTTAAATACCCATGTTTCCAACAAACTGCAAATTATGCACATCAGGCATTTAAGGGCAGATAGTTATCTACATATTAAAAGTAAAGAAACATCAATATTTCAGTAGTAAAAATGTAAAATACAAAAAGAAATATAGCTGCGAGCAGCGATTGCGGGCCCAAGCCTGTGGCACCGCAACCCCGTTGCCTTTAGTTACCTAAAGGCACCGGGGTGGTGGTACCGCCGGCTCTGGCCCTTCATCGCTGCTCGCAGCTATATATATATATATATATATATATATATATATATACTGTATATATAAAGCCAGTGGCACCATGCACCACCCTCGTGTTTTATGTGTACGGACGGAGAACCCAGGCGCAGACAGCAGATGATGAACAAAGGATTTATTTAGGGCAAAAACAGAAAATAAAGCCCACGAGGGGGCAAAACAAGACAGGGTAGAACACACCAGACTAATACTAGAAACTAAGACAGGAACAATTCTAAGACACGAACAGACTCTTCTTGAATAACGGATAACTCAAAGAATTACTCACTGCTAGAAACACACAACGTCAAACAATGAACCGACACAGGACAGCAAACACAAGGGGATTATAAAGGGAACACTAATGACGAGGAGAGGTGAAACTGACTAGACAATAAATCACAAGACGGGGATAACAAGGGGGCGGGGTAACGTAACTAGACAACACAAGCACATGGCCCAAACAATTGGCCATGCACTTGTACACAAAACATGATTCTGTCACGATCCTGCCTCACAACTAGGGAAAAATCAATGTCAAGTTGTGATATATTTCTTGTGCAATTCCCCACTTGAAAAGGACAGTCCCTCCACATGAAGATCTTAACTGGATTTCACTCAATAAACAGCCATGGGATCAGTTGTTTGTCTTTTATTAACCATTCTGTCTTGGGCAGTAAACAGGTGAAAAACCTCAAAAAGAGATGACAAATACAAGTTACTATCTGAGTTGACAAGCAAATTAAATAAACAATTCACATTTAACTCAGATAAACACATTACTGTCATTATAATTATAAGGTTTCCAACTTTAAGCAAATGTTATCCAATAAATACCCAGCATTTTAAATCAAATGATCAGAATTACTATCTTTAGTCAAATGCAATACAAAATATTTTTTAGTAATAAAAATTCAATTTATTAGTTCTAAGCCATAATTTCCTAGTAAAGAATTATAAGGTATCATTGAAACCACACATTTAATAAAACCAAACAACATTTGAGGTTACAAATCCCACTGCAAAAAATCCTATCAATACAACGAGAGTTTATAGTCAGTGTTTTTCCAGAGCATTATTAGCACTGCTTTAGTCAATCTAGCCAAAACAAGGCCAATATGGCGCTTACCGGCTGTCCTTCACAGTTTTGTGGAGGGCTTGATCTTGCACAATCACTTTAATGACAAACATAAAGTTTTCTTAGTCTTGTGGTGCTATAAATGGTCCTTCCACTATGGTTTAAAGACAACAATCAGAGCCAGGTACTAGCACGCTCAGATTTCTTGGAAGATTTGTTCCACCTGGTGATTGAAGGGGAGGAGGAGCTCCCAGGCAGTTTGTCAGCACAATCAAGGACATTAAGGCAGAATCATGACATCGTGCCTTAGGGTTATTGTGCACATTGTGCTTTGACTGTCGAAAGGAAGTGTGCTGAAGAGCTTGCATCAGTGTGGTCAGGTTTACATCCAGGTCTACATCTGCCGTGTGTTTCCATTTTAGAAGTTAGTGATGCGCTGATCCGATACTGCCATTTTTGCCGGATCAGGTATCGATCAGACGAGGCTGATTCAAATCCTGTATTGTGCGTATACTATTCTGTTATTGTTAAGCCCCACAAAGGGCACAAAAACTTTCTAAAGTTTTTGTGTACTGTATTATAAGTGTTCTGACGCCATTATTTGAGATCGCAATTAATATTTAAATTCATTAAAGTCATTAAATTCAAGATCATGCAAACTTTTCCCTATGCTGGAGTGTTCAAACAGCGCGTCGCGTTCGGTTACAGTCAATGATGAAACTATCTTCAAGATGATTCAATGTTAATACTATTATACTTGATCTGTAGATAAAGGTCTATGGTTTTGAATAAAGAAACTTTATCTTGCTGGACTTTAATAGAGAATAATCGTGTTACTCTCTACCGGGAGTCAGAGCACTATAATTGTTCTTCACACGCACAGTAACTGAAATTTAAAATGTTAAAAGAAAAGGCTCAATACACTATTGCATAGATATATAATGTATAATACACTGTCCATCAATATGTATTTTCTTTATGCTTTGAACTTCTCAATGCGGACTCGACGCCAGTGCTTTAAGTGGGCCGGTACGCGCCGGTTCTCAGTACCGCCACTTCCAAAAATAGCTTTTGAGCGTACTGCCACCTCTCCTTGCGGCCAGAACGTGCTTTTAGCGTACCGGTACGTTCATTTGCACATCTGTTTAATTACGTGAATGATAAATAAAGTAATTGGGTTGATGTGCCCGTTTATAGGTCACGTATATGAAAGCAGACATAATGTTAATTTGTCTCTTGTCATAATTTAGAGCATATTAACCATTTTGCCGTGCTGATCACGCAGTAAAAATGCTCCTCCCCGCGGCCAAAACCAGACTTCTGTGGGTGAGAATACAAAACAAAGACTGGTGGAACGTTGTCCTGCTTCACTTCACATACGCGTGAGTAAAATGAGAATTTAAAATTGGCGGAAAACTTATTAATATGACACTTTATTCAACAGGGTTATTTAAAAGTATTTTGAAAGTGACACACTTCCTGCAGCCAGTTGGTGGCGCTATAAGCGGGGTTGTGGTGCCACCGGCTTGGGGCCTTAATTGCTGCACATAGCTATATATTTTTACACACACACACACACATAAACACAGACACCAGCAACCCCCCCCCCCCTCCACATAGACACTGATAGAGACAAGATACACATCCAAACTACAATATATGACTTTCTTTTGGTCTGAGCTTCTTACTGTTAATTAGAAAGTTGATCGGCTTGACGGGAACAATATACGTGTCCTTTTTTAGTCATAAAGTTAATTTCCTCGCCACGGCCAAACCGTTCGAGATATCAAACATCCGTCCGGAATTGAGCATCCTCAATGTCTTGACTTCATGCACACCGAGTTTGGTGGTGATTGGTAAACACATGCGTTGTAATTTGATGTATTTCTCCTAGGAGATTTATTCAAACAACCCATAATTCCCGACTTCCATTTGAACTGTCGTAAAACTTATAGATCACATCAGGCCAAACAACTTTCAGGCTCTAAGTGTACCGAGTTTCATATTATTACATGCAAGTTTTTTTGTTTTTGTTTTTTTTATTAAACCTTTATTTAACCAGGGAAATAATCACATTGAGATAAATATCTCATTTACGAGTGAGCCCTGGCCAAAATAGCAGCACACAATATACATAAATACATAAAACAGAATACACAACACGCACATGTACAAAAAATAATACAAAATTAAATGTTAAGAGCAAGTGCAGACAGATTTGAATGATTTGTTTAAGTGTAGCTTGAACTCACTTATCGAAATAAGTTCTTCAAGTTTCAGTGAACTTTGGATCTCATTCCAAACAGTTGATGCAATAAGTAAAAGCAGTTTTTCCAAATTCTGTCTTCATTAAAGAAACATTTAAAAGAATATATCTACTTGAACGTAGATTATACCCTTGACTATTAAAAGTTAGTAAACTACTCAAATATTGGGGAAGCTGGCCGACTAATGCCTTGTATACAAGTATGAGCCAGTGTGTTTGATTTATGGACCAAATTTTCAGATCAAATTTATGGACCAAGTTAATTTAATTAATAAACTAATTATATAAAACTATTGTCAATGCACTACAATTAAACTGGTTATATTATGCCTTTACTTATAAAAAATTTAAATAAAAACTTATTTAAAACATACCAGGCTTAAGAAATGTATTTTTTTTTATGCAGGCCAGACACACAGCAGTGAAATGGTTAAGCCCCCTCCCCCTACAAACACACACACAAACACACACACACACAGACAGGCAAAGACAGAGACAGAGACGTAGGCTCAGAGAGAGCATGACCACATTCAAACAAACATATCTGACTTTCTGTGGGTCCTAGCTAATAAGTGTCAATTAGAAAGTTGTCCGGCTCGAGGAGTACAATATACATACCGATTTTTGTAACTGTAGATAAACTAACAACCCCACTTTTGTCAAAAGGTGGCGCTACTGAGCCCTCACCACGCCCGTTTCTGAAACTTTGCACATGTCTACTGGCTAATAAATGTGATGTGTCTGACGAGTTTCATGCAATTTGAAGCATGCTATGGGTCTCAAAAGCATCCTAAAAGAATGGTAAAGTTTGATGTGTTGCCACGGAAACAGTTTCAAAGATATCAAGAATCCATTCACAGGTCTTCATCTGCCGAGTATTTACATTATAGTCACAGATGAGTATAGTATACAGATGAAGTTTGAAGTAAATCGGGTAAAAATAAGAGGGTGATTTCAAAGCATTTTGAAAGTGACACTTCCTGCTGCCAGTTGGTGGCGCTATAACTTTGAATCACAATAGTCACATCCATGTGATCGGCCTCTTACAACGAATACACTGCTGAAGTTTCATCAAGATCAGTTAATGTATAAAGAAGTTATGACACACTTCCTGTTTCACGTTTTTCGCCATAATTTCGTTTAATCGCCACGGCCAAACCGTTCGAGATATCAAAAATCCCCACACAAGCTTTAACCCTCAATGTCTTAACTTCACGCTGACCGAGTTTCGACGAATTAGGATCAGTGCTCTAGGAGGAGTGTTTCAAATTCCATTGCGTGTGTTTTACAAAGAACCCTAAATAGCCGACTTCCTGTTGGGCTGGGGTAAAAAGTAAAAGTATGAAGTATATGTGAAACATGTGTATCGATGAGATCAACATGTGTACCGAGTTTCATATTATTACATGCAAGCGTGTTTGATTTATGGACCAAGTTTTCGGACCCCATTCAAGGGGGCGCTGTCGAGCCCCCCTGCCATGCCCAGGTACCATCTTCAGCCCGGCTCTGATGGCCGCGGGTTCTGACCCGTGTGCATAGTTTCAAGAGTTTTCGAGCACGTTAAGGGCCCCAAAAGTGCCTGAATAGTCGTAAGAAAAATAATAATAATAGAAAAGAATAACCCCAAGGAAAACAATAGGGCCTTCGCCCTTTCAGGGCTTGGGCCCTAATTAAAAAAGAGAGAAAGAAGGCTAAAATTCTCAACATGTCCTCGCTGTGGCGTGTAGCACGATGACATAGTGGATCAGGTACTGGACTTTGTTACACGCATGCGTGGTGGTGTGTTTTGGTGACTTCATATATGCAGACACTCTTTTCCATCCATTTTGTTTTTTTTCTTTTATGACTCATTTCTCATTTATGCTTAACCTCTTAACTGTCACCCCCCCTTTTTTATATAGACATGGAAATGCTCATTTCAAACTTAAATGGTTGTAATTCAAGAATGCTTTGGAATATAGACGTAAGATTGGTCTCGTTTTAAAGAAGACATTTGGCAAATTTTTCTCTAAGTGAAATAAATTAGGAAAGTGAAACAGAAAAAAGTTATAGAAGTTTGAGTTTATAGAAATGTACAATGTAAAAAAATGAATTATTCATATTTTATATAAAATATATATTTTCAAAACCAGGGCTACTCTAAAACTGCAGAAAATCAAAGCCAAAAATCTGAACAAGTTGTGTTTCAAATTTTAGGTTGATATCTCAAAAAATGAGCTTTCAGTGAGATTTAGTTTGGGCGCAGTACCAAACTTCTTCACTAGGGCACAACCAGACTCCATTACTGCCCATATAAGGGCGTCTCCATTTCCATATGTGTTTGGAGTTATCTGAACCATTATTTTCAAAAATTTCACACAATTTATGAAGTAGAAATCCTATTCAGAAGTAGTATGGGTAGTTTGGCAGATTTTGATATGAATTCAACCTCTAGGAATCACATACAAAGCACACGCATGCGCGTTATAGCTTATTGACATAACACAAATGGTGAATCTATTTTTTTCGTAATATTTAAAACATTTTCAGACCTTTTTTTCTAAAATAATTGAATGGATGCTATCTTTTGAACTCTTGGCATGAAATAAAACTGAGGTTTCTAACTTTTTTTCATGATTTTTCATGTTCATTGCTATTTCAAAATAAATGTTTTGAATACTTGCACAGCAACTACATCCTGGGCCGTGGAAAGAGTATGGACATGATGATCTCAACGTATGCGGTTTTCTTGTTGCCATCACTAAATTACATTTTAGATATTCAACCACATGGTTTATTTTTGAATAATTATAACATATTTATTTCAATTTATTTCATTCCAAGGCATGTTGATGGTAGGAAGAAATGTTTGATCATAATAATAAATGTTGTTTTTTTTTTTTTTTTTTTGTTTGGGTTTTTTGGATGGCTTTATCAGACTGCTGTCTGTCATTAATTAATTTTTTTTAGTTTGAGCAAAAACAATATCCAACAAACTTATTTATGAAATCTCCCAAAGCAATTTAAGTTAATTACTATTGTTTATGTCTTTTTTGATGCAACTTGCTAATAATGTTACAGTATGCACTCTCTGTTTTAATGGAAGGACTCTTTGATTTTGCTGAGGTGAGCTATCAAAACTAATAATTTTGGGAAAATTATATTCTCAAAGTGTGATTGAGATTTACATTAAACATATTTTCCAGTCTGACATGGCTGCAGCATGGTGGTGCTTGCTCCAGCTAGAAAATTATCCAGTGAAGTAAGCCTGTTTGCAAGTACTTCCAATAAATAAATTATATTTATTAGTAGTACACTGTAAAAAAAGAATGAGTAAAATATACTTAATTCTTTTAAGTTTTTTTTTGCACTGATATTTTTTGAGTAAATTTCACACACAGAAATACGTAAACTATACTTAAATAAGTTAAGTGAAAGTAACATAAGAAATTAAGTAATTTATATTTAGCTAATTAAAGGTTAGTAATATCTATTTAATTTGATTTTTCTTTGTACAACATTTCACTCAAATAATATAACATTAAATTAGACCACACTTTTTAAGTATATGATTTACTCAGATACGTTTAAGTAAACAATACATATAGTGTGTGTCACCGTATCTTCATTTCTCAAGTTATATGAACGCAGATACTTGGTAGACAATACATAATGACGGTAACATTTGATGGATGGTTTTTGTGTTTGAATGTGTCATTTTAAGTAGAAAATGGACTCCAAATGTCACAAAATGGCAAGTTACTAATCCTAACAACAAAAGTAATGCTAAAATAGTGTACATATGGAAAACAGTGAAAAATAAACCTCATTAATTATTCAAGGCCCAGTGCATGATGGGAACACCAGTATCAGAAAAGTTGAGTACCGGTACTTTTACCTAATTTTATAATGTTGATATTTACGTTTTCATTTCTACACGATTGAATTGAGTACTACAATAGAATTTACTTATTTTAATTCTTGCCTGAACTAACTTTTTTCATGTAAATTACATTGTTTTTTTCTGTAGTATTTACTTCACCACAAAATAATTTTATCAAGAATAGAATTAGCAGTTTTTTTATCCTCTCTTTAATAATGTTAATTTGCACACTATTTGGTAATTTATGGTGATTTTTTTCCCCTGTGTGGAGTAAAATATTAAAGGGATACTTCAGGATTTAGCATTAAGCTTTGTATCAGTAGAAAACCAGTAGTTGGTACGGGCGAGAATCTGATGCTCGCGGCTAGCGGCTAAACAGTCGCAGGAGATGGAGGAACAATAGGCGGCCGGAGCGAGACAGACTCGAGCTGGGACGCCCGAGAATCTGATGCTCGCGGCTAGCTGTACGAGCCGCAATACAGTGATAAGCAGTTGCGGGAGATGGAGAAACAACAGCCGGCCGGAGCGAGACAGACTCGAGCTGGGACGGGCGAGAATCTGATGCTCGCGGCTAGCTGTACGAGCAGCGATAAACAGTGATAAACAGTTGCGAGAGATAGAGGAACATCTTCTGGTGAGATTGCTGAATAAAAGTTATAACTCACATTGATTGTGGTTCTTTTTATAAACCTTTAGTGTTAGTAGAGTATGGATTAGCCTAGATAATGTATTAGCTTGGAGAAATAGTGATTTCAATTGAGGGAAAACAGTTCAAGCAGAGCTACTAAGCTACTTTGTTAGCATGGTCCTGTCTTGCATCATATTTTTAATGTTAAAGTCTAAGTCGTGTTATACATTAGGCTAGTACATCCCGGCACAATGCAATTCAGCACCATTTCGATGGAAATTTATCAAATAGCTCACAATGTATCAAAGCAAGCCTAGTTGTATCCATTTTTGGATTCTGCCGTCTGTAACCGGTAGGCGTGGTTTGGGAGTGGCCTCGTAAGGGCAGCAAAGCAACTGCATTCTGGGAGTTGAAGTCTTTCAGCCACAGTAAAAAATACATTTTCTGCATTTTCTCAATCTACAAAGCTTCAATTTCAAAAATAATTTCACATTTCTACTATATAAATTTTTTGATGCTTTTGTGCTTAAATGCCTTAAACATCTGAACTGCTTGAACACCGATAAATGCTGCTTGCAGCTTTAATTATATGTTGTGATTTGTATAATCACAGTGTGTACAAATAACGAGGTCATATGAGACACAGCCATCTTTTAACCATATACATACTGGGAACTATATTCTCAGAAGGCGAAGCACTGCTACTTGGGCGGAGGCTGAGGTTGATGAGACTAACTAGTTATCTGGATTCCAAGACTATCATAGATATGTTCAATTTGGATACATTTTTACATAGCCTTTTTGCTCTTTTATTTTAACAACTATTTCTGCAACCATACGCACACTTGTTTTTGTCTTTATGCGTGTTATTTACAGTTTTTAGGGGGGATGAACCAATATCTCTTGACTGCCCAGACAGCCCTGAAATTCATGATACTCACGCAGAGGTGACAGCAGGTCCATCGCTGAGATTAGGGGGTTCTCGCAAGGAGATGTTACTCTTCATGGACAGACAGCTGGATCCTGGAGATTGTCCATCCCTGAGATTAGGGGGTTCACGCAAGGAGATGTTACTCTTCATGGACACACAGCTGGATCCTGGAGATGGTCCATCACTGAGATTAGGGGGTTCACGCAAGGAGATGTTACTCTTCATGGACACACAGCTGGATCCTGGAGATGGTCCATCACTGAGATTAGGGGGTTCACGCAAGGAGATGTTACTCTTCATGGACACACAGCTGGATCCTGGAGATGGTCCATCACTGAGATTAGGGGGTTCACGCAAGGAGTTGTTACTCTTCATGGACACACAGCTGGATCCTGGAGATGGTCCATCACTGAGATTAGGGGGTTCACGCAAGGAGATGTTACTCTTCATGGACACACAGCTGGATCCTGGAGATTGTCCATCCCTGAGATTAGGGGGTTCACGCAAGGAGATGTTACTCTTCATGGACACACAGCTGGATCCTGGAGATGGTCCATCACTGAGATTAGGGGGTTCACGCAAGGAGATGTTACTCTTCATGGACACACAGCTGGATCCTGGAGATGGTCCATCACTGAGATCAGGGGGTTCATGCATGGAGATGTTACTCTTCATGGACACACAGCTGAATCCTGAAGATTGTCCATCACTGAGATAAGGGGGTTCACGCAAGGAGATGTTACTCTTCATGGACACACAGCTGGATACTGGAGATGCTGCCCTCTGAGTGTGAACAGACGCCTCCTCCCCTCTCTCCTCACACACACTCATTTTACAGGTAGGCCTACGGTTCTCCTCCTCCTCTCTTTCCTCACACACACTCATTTTAGAGGTACTGTTCTCCTCCTCCTTGATGTGACACTTTACTTAAAGGCCTGTGTGTGGACACAGAGGACATGCACAAAATACAATTGATTTTTGACACATGGCATTTAATTAATTTTAACTTAAAGTAAAAAAAAAAAATCTCCAGTTAATGGTGTTTGTTAAGATTAACATGTCAGCCACAGTTTCAAACGCAGTTTACACAGTGGACCTTCAAATTGACACTGCTGAACTCTTACAGGTATTTTCCCAATCCGTTTTTTCTTACATTTAATGGTTTACCTTTACTTTATTCAATGCAGAACTGGCTCTAGTTGTTACGTTAACTGGAACAGATTAGACCTTCTCATAGACTCGTAATAGCCTACAAATGCAAAATATTAATAATCCTCGGGCTGCGATGTGCGATACAGTTTTGGATCTCCACTGTGTTTGTATTCAGAAATGATAACAGTCGTTTTATAATAGTGCTTATGCAATACTACGATTTTTGATGATCTTCTGCACCTTTTCTGAGCGCTGGGAAGCGAGGGGAAGGGGGGGGGGGGGGGGGTATGTGGCTTAGCTCCACATACTTTATTTAGAAGCAATTAAAATGCCTAGTTCATTTTAAAGACATATCCTTATTATTAGCCTGTTTTTGCAGTGAGATTTATGCCTATTCCTCCATGCACCCCGTATTTAAGCAGAAATTAATGTGCAATAGTCAACCAGAAAAATATTTTGTACAACTCCAATCAATATATTTACTATTTAATTAGTTACAAGTATCAAGTTATTTATATTTAATTTGTTGAGTTAACAATTAGTTCTGATTTAATAAAATAATAAACATGATTTTTTTTAAATGAAAATGATTAAAAATTTTAAAAATGATTAAAATAAAAATGATTGTTTAATTTTTAAAGAATACATGGTGTCATTTGTCCTAGTCTAGCCTAAAGGTATAGTTTATATGTTCTATATTTTGCTAGCCCACCCTGGCTGTCCATAAGGCAGGCTTATAGCTTAATGTTAATATTATATTAAAATTAGACCTTCAGATTAAACCCGTGGTATACTAAAACAGCATTGAAGTTTTGTTGATATGCTGGGATTTCAACATTTGTAATCGAAACACCATTGAAATTCTGTTGATCTCTAGGTATGATTTAAACGTTGTTTCAATGACAATAGAGGGTGCAACATATGATGAAGAATCAAGACGTTGGTTCAATGACTTTTTCGTTGACAGCGCGATGTTGATTTAACACCATTTCAAATTTGCTATGTGTTACAGCGTAACTCAACATTATTATTATAAAATTAATTAAATAGCCTACGTATCGCCAACCGAAGATCTAAGCATTTATTCTCCTAAAGGAAAAACGTGTATCCATTTTGTTACAGTTGACGTGAAATAGGCCTATAACCAAAGTAGGCCTAACTTCAACTTTATCATGTATTTCGAGTTTGATTTCGTCATAATTTATTTTTAAACGCAAAACCCTATTGATATTACAGCTATGAAAAGTGTAAAGAACTTAACTTACCTGTCACATGTGAAGCGATTGCTGATTTTCTATCTCCCGAAATGGCGTCTTCACAGTAATCGGTTGCTTTCGGTTTCAGCAGCTCCTCCTCGAATGGATTCTTTTCACACTTCCGGGTTTGGAATGAGGAAAAAAAGTACAGAGCCAAACAATATTATGAAGCTGCTAGTCTCGCGTAGCCAGACCTTCAGACTGACGGCTGAAGGTCTGGAATTCATAGCAGCTTTCTTTGGCCAAGGCCCGCCCATAAGGCCGTTTGACTGACATGTCAAACAACCAATTACAGTTCGTTTCGTACAGCGTCACGTTTCAGGGCGTGGAAATGTCCCCACAACAACAGATCGGCGTGCAACAAGTCAGTCAGCAGTCAGCAGCAGTTACTGGAGTGCCTTATATATGGATCAATTGGTTAACAACGCTCCACGCTATTAAATTCGCCCACGAACTCGCGCTCATGTCCATCTTATGCCCGCTTTGTCAATGCTGCACATTGAATACTCATGAGTCAGGCTGCGAATGTAAGTTACGTCCCCGCCACAGCGCGCTCACGCCTACTAAATAAACGCCTCACCTCCGGGGCCGCGTACTCGCTATTCCATTTATTCCCTTTAGCACATCTAGTGGATGCATAACGCAAACCCAGTCAAATGTTTGACTCTGCAGTATCTTATGTGCCTTATAATCTAGTGCGCCCTATATATATATATACTGAATCGGCCAGCTGCGATGTCAGCGTAGACCCGTTTGCCCACAAACACGGCTGATATCCCCTTCGCAGTTAGGTACTTCACTTGATCTTCCATAATAGATAGGAGGGGACATACAACTACGTTTAGCTGATCTTGATAAATGCTCATTGTCACCTTTTACGGTCTATGATTGTCACTCATAAACACAACAGTTTTTTTTCCGCAATCACACATCTGCGCTTTATTTCCCGGCGGACCGAAAATAAACGCGACACTGGCGCCCCCGGAAATCCGATAAAATTCAACCAATCAGGTGACGACTTCGACATTCCTGAAGTGTTTCCAGTTAAGTGTACCATATGCATCAGACGTTTAGCCAACATTCCGTGGGCGTGACGTCTGAGGCTGAGACTATGAAGCTGCAGACTCGGAGCCTGCATCTACAGTCCCCCACCGAGAGTCCCGCATTCTTAGACCCCTCGTTTTTCGAACACAGCGCCTCCCGCTGTTCAAACGGTCGAATAACACCCACACACAGAGTACAGCGTACGATTATCCAAATGCAATTAAAAACAATAGGATGCAATATTACGGTCTCCAAATAAATTATCCAATAAATATTTGCGTTCCCTGCTTAATGTATGTGCAGAAAAAAACGAATTGTTACTGATGGAAGGGATACAATTACAGATTGAACTATCTTCAGAAAAATAGTATGTGATATTATATTGCTACAATGTTTTTTTTATATATATTTTTTTATTCAAATTCCAATTTTTCCTTCAGTTCAACCTATAATTTTCTAATTATAATTTTACGATGCTAAGATTACAAAATCTGTTTTTTTTATATTTTGAATGCGAAGCAAAACAAATCAGAATAGACAAAACACCAATAAAATAAACAATTCCTACTTTATTTAGGCTAATGATCACCTAAACATCATCTTGCTGTAAAGAAAAAAGCAAGGAAAAAATGTGTTCGTGACTTTACTTTTCGTCTTCAATTGCATTAAAAAAACTCATTTATAAGTCGCTTTGCATAATCCTAAAATGATGTTGCTGGGTTCGGCAGGGGCAACTCCATCGATGTATGGTGTACCCTGGAATAGCCTTCAACATAGGACGATAGCACATGTCTTATGATGTTTCAAAGCTAAATTATAAACGTTAGCTATCTAAATATTTTCGGGGGGGAAAGGGTGAAAAAACATACATTAACGGCTCAAATCTTGTTACAAACTAACTTTACAAATATTCAATGGACTATTCATATGTTGTATCGATGAGCTAAATTAGTTTTATTAAAAAAAAATTAATCAAACGAGTAGGCTATATACTACGATTCGCTAAATAAAAGATAGCCTACTCACGTTTATGTTTATCCGATACAATTTGATAGGAGGCGCTGTCTCGAAAAACGAGGGGTCTGAGAATGCGGGACTCTGGGTGCAGGTCTCCGAGTCTGCAGCTTCATACTACTCGAGCCAAATGCGAGACCATAAAAAAAAATGTTTTCGTTCCCACTGTACTATTTTTATAGAAAGAGAAAGGTTTGAAAGAACATTTGGGGATTAATTTGTATAATATACACAAACAAAAATACAATTTAAAATTTTGCTAAATCCAAACAACTACATTTGAACATGCTGTTATGTAACTTCTCCATATCAGTCATGCAGTCTGCTGAGTCTCTCTAACAGAAATTAAAGAGAATAAAATAAACAAAAAGGGTCAACGTCTCTATATAATTCTCTAGCGTCTGTCAACAAAATCATTAAGTTTGGTATTAGCTAAACGTCCATTTGAAATGGTTGATGTAAAAATTGTAAACCTTCATGTATGGATGTAATAGGCTTGTTTGAGATGCGCCTCGCCTCGCCTGCATTGTAGTCGAGAGTAGGCGGCTGCAGTAAGAGCCGAGGAGGAGTGAAAAAAGCGCATTCAAGCCGGACAGATCTCGGTTCTCGCAGTGAATCGGACACCTGTGAGATCATTTTATAACAAATGAGAATAGTTTTTGGTTTTGCATTCCCAGAGGTATATTTAGAAAAGTGGGTGGAATTGATTTCCTTTTGAGATGCGATTATACTGTTTCCATGCTGCCAATTAAATTATCATCTTTTCACCAGCAGATTTTGTTATATTGGAAATTATTATATAAACATAACTTTTCTCCACATAAAATCCCAATATGGAACAATAGATTTATTGTTTCTAAATATAAGTCTCTATGTGTTCTTGAGTGGCTAGAAAAGGGTATCTGGTCAGTCAACACAGTCTCATGAAGATGCGTATCTATACCACGAGTGTCATTTCTCGTGGCATTTATACGCCAAAAGTGTTTTTTTCGTGAATATGGTACGCACTAAAAAACCCTGGGTTAGGTTTAGGGGGGAGGGGGGTGGGGAGTTCGTGCGTATTATACGCAAAAAAGTGCGTATCATATGTACGCGAAAATCGCGTGCCATATACACGCAAAAACTGTTTTTGCCGTATAAATGCCACGAGAAATCACATTCGTGCCATAGATACGAACTTTCATGAGATCGGGCTGGGTCAGTTCTTCATTTGATAGATGAAGATGGGAGATTGTTAACTTTTAAAGACTTTTGTACTAAATATAATTTACAATGTGAACGCAAACTTTTTGAGCGTGTTTTAAATGCCATTATACATTTTGTACAAAATGCTTCTGCCAACATACCTGATGGACCTTTTGAACTTCCATCCCTTCTCTTCAATGGTAATGACCTCAGAGTAATGATTCCCAACAAGCTTATCCGCTCTTGTTTCAATTCTATATTATATCCGACACTTCCATATAAAAACTGTGTTTTGCAATCTTATGATAAACGAGCTGTTAAAAATTGAGAACACAGTACATTAGTTTTCCAGTGGCTCCTAAAGCTAAGGAAACTCATTTTAAAATATTCAATGGAGTATACCCTTCTAGTGAATTCTTAAAGATGAACTGAACTGAAAAATATCGACGTTGAAAACGTGTTGTTTATGACAATTAAAAGTAAATTACACTAAACATTTTTTAAAAATATATATTAATATAGCTTTTTAAGCAACGCAAAATTGCGCTTGTTAACGCTGGCAGTTCCGAGGACGTCACTGGCATGGTAGGACCCGCGGAGCGCCATAGACAACAGCTGTAGGTCCTGTATACACAGACGAAAATGAGCGCTTTTAACGGCATGGATTACGCATTTGAGCCCGTGAGGGACAGGCCGGTAGTGTCTAACTACCACCACATGGAGGACGATCAGTTTCAGGCTTCACTTGCAGTACAGGATCGTTTGGGGGAAAGTGACTGTGGGCGCGAGCTCTGTGGAGCATAGACACTGCACGGAGACGATCTGTTGCAGAGAGGTCAACATGGACATTTATTGATCGGCGAAAAATGCATCACCATGCACCGTTCATTTCGGATGCTGTTCGGTGAGAGAAACGTGTTGAAGGACGGAGGCTATGCTGTCTCTAATGGATGTCCGAGCTGAGACGCTGGACCGCCCCATAAGTAGCAGGGTATTTTACGAATAGGTGACGGCTGGGCTAACTTGTTACACTTTTCTCAGATTGTTTAGATTAACAGCGTACTGGCAGTTCACTCTATGGGCGAGGGTGCATTTAGGAAGGAGAAAATCCCATCCTTTACAGTGAACTATACATCAGGGATCTTTTCCCCCTCACCCGAATATCAAGGATTTGAGTAACGTTAACGTGATGCATTGAACTTGTAACTTGTGTAAATAAAACATTTCGTGCATTGTCAGACGTTTCATGTACTCATTGACGAAAGTACACATCTCTAAATAGTGTGTCGCTAAAAAATCTGTTTCCTCAGCCATGTCAGCTAGCCTTAGACAATTTACAAGCTACGGCTGTTCTGCTGGTGCGGGTAGGCAACGGAGTGGCTTACCATGCCAGTGACGTAGTCGAACGTTGAAATCCAACATGGCGGCGCCCGTGTAACAAAAACAACACTTTCAATGTACCATTTTATCCCTTTTAACAAATTCTGCCATTTTAAAAATTGTACCAATGAGAATAAATAAAATACATCTGTTATATCACCTTTTCTCAAATTTCAGTTCAGTTCATCTTTAAGACAACGGTTTAATTTTGAAGAAAATGCCTGTACTTTTTGTCAAGTTGACAGAGACAACTGATCATCTTTTTTTTCCTTGTGTTTCTTCAAATACTTTTTGGGAAAATATGTCTTATTGGTTGGAATCAAAGATTCAATCACTGCCTACTTTTGCCAGAAAACATATTATGTTTGGAATGCTATTGAACGAGAAAAGAAACTAATTTCTTGTTAATGTAATGTTGATACTGGGAAAATTTTTTATTCATAAATCCAAATGTATGAAAACGAAACCTTATTTCTCTGTATTTAA